TATCTTTTAGTACTAATATAAATTACATGAGTCACACATTGAATAATATTACAATGTGAGTGTGACATGCTTCATTTTTACGTGCATTTAGAGTGATTTTTTTACCCAGTTCATTGTATTTTAATATTTACTTAATTATTTATTTAATAATTATTTTTATTAAGCTATACAGGAGTGCTCTATTTTGAGTTTTATCAGAAAATAGGGTCAAATTACTTTTTGGAGTTGAAAACGACGTAAAATGGACATAAACGGGATATGAGTTTTGCAGTGAAACAGGCCCAACATAAGGCCCTCATGAATATGAAGAGACTGCATAAACTAGCTGAGCCGGCCCAAGAAGATCAATAATAAGCAAGTAACGGGCCAACCCACAAGAATGTTTAAGTTGAGGGTAATATGGTCTTTTTTACTGTTAATACAAATGGGGCAGCATACAAACTTCATCTTCTTCACGCTATCACGCCTGACGTCCGCCATGGGAGAGCTGCCGGAGCTTCGCTGCTCGTCCACCACCTCGCCGGCAACTGCGTTGGAGACATGCTGCAGGAAGCTGACGGAGCCGACCGAAACTCTCCGGCGAACCACCTGGACGCCATGTCCGTCCACAGAAGATCAAATCTCCAACCAGATAATATAAAATCGCTTTTGACGCCGACAAATCTCGAGGAGAAGAAGTTGGTCGCTGCCCACGCTGAGGAAAGACGATCTGGAGCTGTTTTGCACTTAGGTGCCACCTGTGTTGATATAACCGATGTGGACAAAGCAAGTTTACTTTTTAATGCATTTTTAAAGTAATTGATTGCATGCGGATGACAAAATAATTAGCGAACAGAGTGTTGTATTTGTAAAATGAAAATATCAGTTATTATACTCTTCCAGTTTTATATAGTGATGGACGTCCTTACAAAACTGTGAATTATTACTACTCTCTTATACATATGACAAATTATAAAATTTATATTTTTTTCGTTAAAAAATACAAAGATATTTTTCTCATGTATTTGAATTTTAATTAGAAAAACAACACAATTTATTAGAAATACTATTATGAAACGGTTTACGAATCCATCTATTCTTGTTATATGACATACCACTTAAGGTTTATATATCATTTCCTTGAAATGTCACAAAATTAAATGAGATTTAGTATTAAATTTCATATCTACTCAAATACTAGGTATTTGAAAATTAAAAAATATAAACTAAATAGTAAAATACATAATTCAGTTGCATACTAAATATTTGTTTGTCTCATTTTTGTTGCGTTTTTTCTTGTTATTTTTTCTTTCTTTTTCTCCCATATTAGGTATTTTCGTTAGTTTTTAGTTTGTTTTGTAGGTTATTGCGTGTTTATTTTAGTTTTCCTTGTGTTTTTTCGGTCGTCTTTCGGTTTTTCTTCGTCTTTGGTGTGCAGGTTGGAAGATTCGAGAGGATGTACTTTCCTTGATAAATAGACCGGATGAATATGATTAAGGAGATCATTTCGTTGGCAACGCACAAGAAAAAGCAAAATCGAATTTCGATACCAGACGAGCCCGAACGACTCCGAAACGTGAAGTCGTCCAAGCACCAGCCCAGGCTCCATGCCCCTGCCGCGCCGCGATGCCTGCCACAAGGGCCTTCAGAGAGCCATTCCAGGTCCCCGCGCCGCGGCTACCACTCCTCCCGCGCCGCGATGCAACCTCCCACCCGCGCAACAGCTTCCTGCCCGCGCCGTGCCATCTCCCCCACGCCGTGTCGATCAGAAAGACATTTTTTTTTCGACTCCAAAAACAGAAAACCCTACCCCTCTTCTCTTTCTCTCGTTTTTTCTCTTCTTCTTCTTCATAAATTTTCATCTAGAATTCGGATTTGAACTCGGATTTCTTTATCGCTTTTGGATTAATCTCGTATTTCGGATTCAACATTCAATTTCAGTTTAATCGTAAGTATTTCTATTCATTTAACCCATGGATTTGTATGCTTTGATTATCATGATTGATGTTGATAATTTGATTATGAGTGGCTAAATCATTATGCTAGGGATAGGGGATTAATGATTTGTGTTCGATTGTGATTGTCGTGTTTGTTGATCGTCTTTCTTATGCGAGTTGATCTTTTAAAAGGGTTTTTCAATTGTCGTACTTGAATATTGAAGATTGTTGAAGGGTGACACTTCAACTTCCAATTGATTTTAAATTGAGTTCGATTTATTCTTGCATGATGTTGGATATTCTAATGGATTAGTAGGTTAATCACCCTGTAGTCTATATTAATCGACGCTTGGAACCGAAAGGGAATGAGTCGGTCGAAATAGGCTCGTATAAACTAGGCTTGATCGTAACCTTATTGCCTAGGTGTTAAATGACTTGTTAATTTGTCGTTCAAGTTTGTTACAAAGAGTTATTGAGGATGAGTACTTGAACGAGCAAGTTATTCAAATCACTTATCCGAACAATCACTTGCCCGACAATTGCATATCAAATCAAGATTATATCCCTGATTCCCTAGCTACCTTATTCTAGTTGATTGATTGCCTTTTACTCTGCTTTTTGAATTTGCGTTTTTATCTTCGTAGTTGTTAATTAAAAATCAAACCAAAAATCTAAGTTAGAATGTTTAGGAATTTTGTTTTTCTTTTTGTGGTTGAATAAACGTGCAAAGTAATCCGACTAATCTTCCTCAAGAGACACGGCCAGACGTTCGAATCTTTTGATTCTACTCCGGTAAAAATATTTACAACAGTATTCTAATAGAAGTCTAAAATAATCAATTATTGTCTCGCATAAAATTATTCAAAAAAATTTTATTTTACCAAGTAATAAAAAATAAATACGAAAATAAGACAAAAAATGACATAATTGGCTAAAAAAGAAAAGCGGAAAGACTTAAATCATGTTGAAATATACAATTTATGGATTTGATCTAAAATCAATATAAATATTTAGGGGCAGAATAAGATTAATACAGAGCTAATATAATATAATATAAGCTTAAATATTTTTTTATAAGTATAAATTTGTAAAAACTGCAAAATTAAGACCGGGGTAGAGCCCATCCTAACATTTGTAATCACACACACACACACACACACACACACACACACACACATATATATATATATATATGTATATATATAATTTTAGCAAAGCAATTAATAAAAATATTTTCGTTTCTCGCCAAAAGACGTTACAAAATTCTATCATTAATAATTTTTTTTCTTTTCAGTTTATTTTACTTTTATCAAAATGTTACAATCCCTATTATTCAACTTTTATATGTTAATATAATATTTAATATTCTTAAATAATTTTAGTCTTTTGCATTTTTGTCACCCACTTAACCTATATTTTATTTTATTTTTAATTTTTGATTTGAAATAATATATTAGCATATTTAATCCAACAAATTTAATCAATAAAACACCGATTTGTTACTTTCAAATTTTCTCTTATGTTATGAAATGGTGTGAAGGAATTATACAATAATCTATCATTATATAAAAAGAATAACCTTTTTACAAATTTAGAAACTTTTTCCCGTCAAAATCATTAAATATATCCTACATATAGTAATTGTTGGACAAACCTGAATATGCAAAAAAATCGGATCATTAATTGTGTAAAGATTTGTTTCTTTTTACAAATTTAGAAACTTTTTCCCGTCAAAATCATTAAATATATCCTACATATAGTAATTGTTGGACAAACCTGAATAGGCAAAAAAAATCGGATCATTAATTATGTAAAGATTTGTTTCTTTTTTTCATGTTTTTTAGTTTATCAAAACCGTTGTTTGACAATAAATATTTGTTTTTCTTTTTCCTATTTTTAGTATAAATCTACACGAGCTTATCTCTTTTGTTATAAAATCTCATTGCATAAGTCTCACGTCTCATCCCTTATCTATAGAGATTTGAAAAAATAAAATAAAATAGAAACCAATTCATAATTACTACTAGAAATTCATTATCTACTTTAAGAAGTTAATTTTCATCGGTCTAATTACTAATATTTTTACAAATATTATAAGCTAACCATACAAAAAAGTATAATAATAATTTTGAAATGGTGTGTGATTAAAATTTTATATATTCTCTTATACAAAATAATTTTACATTGTTTGATCCCGAATCTTTAATTTATAATTATTAAGTATTTTTTATCCTCCTCTTTAATTTATAATTATTTTTTTTCTTCCTCTTTTTAAATAGGATCAATAGTAGTTTCCACTTCCGCCTAAATCATTCCATAACAAATTAATTTTTTATTTTTATTTTTTTTTTCTGTAGAAATCACATTGTCCAACAAAATGTTGCACATATTTTAATGTAGTATTCTTTATTCGAATTTACGAGAATAAGTAATCAATTGACACCTTAATTTGTTTTGCATTAATAAATTAATTATATTTTTATTTATTTATTTATTTATAATTGCCACTACGAACTAATTATAAAGTCGCATTAAATGATATTTTATTTAAAAACTTCTTTTTTCAGAATATTTATTTAAACTATTATTTATTTTTAGTTCATTAAATAAGTTTTTTGTTATTAAAATTAGTTAATTTATTTTCTTATGGCATAACCAAACTACTTAAAATTTTGTACACAATTACTATAATAATAATTTTTTTTTTCTAAATAATTGGTCATAGTCAACCAAAATTTTAAAAATTATATTATTGCAATCAATATAAAGATTAATATGTAAGTTAAATAATTTATATTTATGTCTTTAATTTTTACTAATGTTAAAATATATAAAATATGATATTTTTAATTATTACATACACACATATAACATATAAAATTTTTGTTTGCATCTGTGCATTTGCACATGATCGAATACTAATTCAACATCGAAGATGAAAAATAGTGAATTTATTAAATATGTTGATGTGGAATATAGTTTACTACAACAATATTTTACATGGAAGATGCTCACTAAGTAGTGGATCAATATTTTCAAACCTTGAATGTTACCTAGTGAATAGTGATTATCAGTTCCGATATCCAAACATGCCGCAAGTGTCGTAACGTCTTTGATTTCTCCCGTACGAATTTACTCATTTACTTGCAGGCGAAGAACAGTGCCAGCATATGCCTTCGAAAGTTTTATCCTCCATTATTATTATTAAATTTCTCCCCGATCCATATTCCCTTTCGCGATTAGGAAGATAAAGAGAATATCAAGAGAATATTGCTAACAAAAATCTAAGAAAAAAGCGACAAATCAAGATCGAAACTTTTCTCAGGTAACCAAAAAAAAAAAAAAAAATGTTATTTTCTTTATTTTTCACAAGAAGTCAAGAACACTTCAATATTTTTTTTTTCTAGCATTGGCTTTGGCCAGAAACAGAACAAATTCTATCACTTTATGCTAGGTCAGCGGTGGTCCACATTCCACGCACCTCTCTTGTTCCAATTCCCCTTTCCAATACCAATTTACATGCGAAAACTTGGTACAAAGCCCATCCCTATCCCTTTTTCCGATTCTGAACAGAGCCACCCATTGCGGTTTCTCACTCTCTCTATCTCTGTGTAGTAATCTCGTTTCGTAATCTGCACTGAAATCCAGGAATTTGTCCACCTCCAGTTGACACTTCAGTTTCTGATAAGCTGGTCCAAGGTAAACTAGAAAAAAAGGAAAATCTTGATGGGTCAGAGCTTTATTTATTTTGGGTTTGGGTAGTTTTGGATGGGGCTTCTGAATATCGATCGGCTTGTTTGGATTAAAGTTGGAATCTTTTTTATTTTGTAGATTGGTTTGTTGATGGCTTGTGTGATTTTGAGCTATCATGTTGATTTGGGATTGCTTTGGGCTTGAATCAATTTGGGATTTTGTATTGCTTTTGGGTTCTGATTTATGGATTTTTTAATCATTCTTTCTTTCTGAAAAGTTACGGTTTTCTGCCCTTTCCTTTTTCCCACTCGTTGGACTATAAGAGATTTGTTTGATATATATGGTGGACTGCGTGAACTGCACTAATTTAATTGAAATTCTCTCTTGGATTTTCGAGAAGCTTTTTCTTAATCATGTGGCTTTAAAGTGTTGGACTAGACATGTAATTTCCGGTATCTGAAAGATTTTATCGCTCCTATTTCACCAAATGATGTTCTGATTCATTCGGTTGCTTTTGTGAATTGTTGGGATGTGCCTACTACCTGATAACCCTCATGAACTACTTGCTTCCTCTTTACCAAGTTCAGTGATTAAGCCTAACAGCTGAAAGCTAGTGTGTTTGTCGATGTCACAAGAAGATGAAAACTGAAGTAATTTGCTTATTCGGTTGGTTGGTCACATTGTATTCATGACATAACTTGTTAGTTGGTATTAGTTCGAATTCTACTCCGGTTATTTAGAAAGATTCTTTTTATCCTCATTTATGGATTTCCATTTCCAGCCGACCACATTCATTATACCTGCGTATCCATTTTCTACATCGATAACTCGGAATATAATATTTACTCTATATTAACTCTTCTTAATTTTAATCACACTTCAACAGGACACCTCAAACCAACGAACTAAAACGTCCACATGCTGACTGCGCTGTGACTTTAAATGGGGGCTTCAAATTCCAGAGTGGAGGACGACAAGGGTCTGCAGCTATGCCGTGCCCGGAAGAAATTCATCAAACAAGCCCTCAACGGCAGGTGTTCCCTGGCCGCGGCTCACATTGCCTACATAAACGAGCTCACAATTATTGGGGCCGCGCTTAAAAAATTTGTCGAGGCCGATTCTAATTCTGAGCCCCACCCTTACCCATCCTCGGGCCCACGTGCCCTAACCGAGAAATCTGTCTCCCATGTTTCGTCTTCCTCACGGTCCTTCTCCCAAATTGCCGAGCCAACAAATGTCCTTAATACCCCCCCTCCCCCTTCGACCCCTCCCTCAAGCAATTTCCACTCCCATCACATGAGATTTCGAAGCCCGTTCTCGAAAAAAGTCGAGGAGAGGCCTCCCGAGCCTGTCATGGTCTCGGTCTCGTCAAATACTCCTCCGTATGCATCCCCGCGGTCCACCGGTGCACCTGAGCCGTCTTCCTTCGAAACGCCGTGGGATTATTTCGGCCTTTTTCAGCCGGTGGACAATCATTTTTCTTCCCAAGAGGCTCCGGAATTAGAGGATAATAACATGGACGAGAAGGTATTATCGTCGAGCTCTTCGGAGGATGAATTTGACGAGCCCTCATCAGCCACGCTCGTCCGGAGTTTCAAAAACTTGAACAGGGAGAAGGAGAATGGCGTCGATGGCAATTCATCATCTCCTGTGGTTTTGGAGAGTCGTGCCTTGGAGACGAAGTTTTCGGGATTCGAGAGTGGTGAGGAAGTAAAAGATGACGGGGATTTACTGGCTAGGTCGCCGGGGAAGATAGAACCGGAGACGAATTCTGCGAATGGGGTAAAAAAAAAAAGTTCTCCTGATTTGTCACCGCTGAGGTCAGCATCGTCGAGGTTTGCGTATTTGAATGATGTGAAGATGATGCCGATGGAGAAGAGTCAGGTGGAGGAGAAGGTTGCGCCCAAGGACTTTGTTTCGAGCATCAAGGATATCGAGCAGCTTTTTGAGAAAGCGTCTGAATCGGGGAAAGAGGTTCCTCGGATGCTGGAAGCGAATAAATTCCATTTTCGTCCTGTTTTTCGTGGAGAACGTATGGTCTCTCTCTCTCTCTCTCTCTCTTTCTTTCTGTTTGTGTGATAGTTCCTCCCTGAATAAATTACTAACAAGTCCTTACATGTGCTTAGTCATGCAATCTGTAAGTGGGATGATATGACACTCTTCTGTTGCATTATATGAGATCTTAGTTCTTAGTCATGCTCGAGAATTTGGTTGTATCATAATATGTCTGGCATGAGGAAGTTTGGGGACAAGGAGGAGGCAATTTGAGTTAAAATATTTTATTATTGTGATCTTCTAGATTATAGAAGATGCATGGGACCTTGTGAAATTACAGGGATTTCTTCTCTTAGTTCATTTTCTCTTTTATATGAAATGTGGATGTGTTTCTCGTTTTGATAGGGGTGAAATATAATGAAGAATTCTTCGTTTGGCAGGTGGATCAGTTACCTCATCATTGCTAAAATCTTGTTTCTCTTGCGGGGATGACCCAAACGAGGCTCGACAAGGTATGTTTGTATTCGAGCAATTGATCATCGGGAAGTATGTATGTAAATTCCAAAAACTAGAGACTTCAAATTCGACTTGTTAACACAAGTAGAAGAAGTTTACTACTATCGGTGGTTGATCTCGGTAGGGAGAAATTGTTAAACCAAAGATATTTTGAGAGTGTTTGCAAAAAATTCGCTTTATTATGAAGAATGATTTTGTCATCAAACGAAAATTGTAGGCATCACGTTAGGTGACTTGTGCATTTTGGAGATTGTTCCATTTCATTGATAATCTGAAATTTTGTTTCAGATAAACAAATCAGTTCGTTCTTGTAATAATTGCTTAAGATTTTCCTGCCCGTTTCTATTAGACTACATTATCATTTGAAAATTGTATAGCTATATTTCTTTTGATGGGTTGCTCTCATTGGGTTTAAGTATGAAAATGAATTGGTTTTCATTATAAATTTCAAAGAATTGTTTTTAAAAAAATGTTATTCTTCCATTCACGTAAGAAAATATGCTCATGGTGCAATTAAATTAGTTATTGCATTACATAAATGAGAATTAGTAATTGAAAATGTTGATATTATAGAGCCGCCACAAAACTCTGTCAAGTACCTAACTTGGCATAGGACGACATCTTTTCGGTCTGGTTCGTCTAGGAATCTTCTAAGTGCAAATTCCACCAATAGTGCTGATGATCTTGCGAACAATCTTTTTGACAACTCATGTATGGTCTCGGGAAGTCATGCATCAACCTTAGATAGGCTATATGCATGGGAGAAGAAGCTTTACGATGAAGTTAAGGTACGGTTACATTCTGCATCGACCTAGAACAATGTTGGTCTTGGCCATTTGTTCAGTCGCTAAGTTATTTTACGCATTTACCTAGAACGATACTGAGAATCTTTTTAATATACGGTTGTTATATTGATGATCTGGAAAATAATACTTGTACAAATCATTTGCCTTTTCTGCTTGTAGCCTTCCTAGAAGCAAAATTTTGGGGATACATGTTACATTCTTCGTCCAGTAATGCATTTTACAGCTGTGCATCATTCAAAAGTTCTATTATATGCATACATATGGATTTGCCTTTGTCAGGCATGTAAAATGGGTTTGTTAAAGCATTTACTTCTGATATTGGTGCTTTTTTTCTTTCTGTTCTTTGATAATTGTGAAAAGATGATTCTTTAGTTCCATTTCTTTTGATGGGAAGAAATATATTCTTTGAAGGGAGAACCTGACATGATATGGTTGATAATCTGTCTGAAAAAGGGGAAAAAAAATAGTATTTATTTCGAGGTTGTTGCTGTTTGGTGTATATTTAGATTCACATAGTATTTGGTGTACAATTTACGACTACCGGTTTATGATGGTGGTATGCTTGTGATTCTCAGTCTGGTCAGGTGCTTAGGAGTCATTTTGATCACAAGTGCAAGCTGCTTAGACAGCAAGAATCACGAGGAGAGAACACCGACAAGACTCGTGCTGTGGTCAAAGACCTACACTCCAGAATAGGAGTCGCTATCCACAGAATCAACTCCATCTCCAAAAAAATTGAAGAAATTCGAGACAAAGAACTTCAGCCACAACTCGAGGAGTTAATCGAAGGGTACGCACTTTTATTTCTCACATTTTTTTTTTCCAATTATTTTGATTTAAATGGACACACTCGACAGATTAAGGAAGATGTGGGAACAGATGCTCGAATGCCACACTCTCCAATTCCACGTCATCACCATATCCCACTCGCCAGCTGGCCCCAGGCTCACCGCAGTACAATCCGAGTCCCGAAAGCAATTCACGGTCCTCCTCGCCAGCTCACTGAGTTCCTTCTCGTCCGCATTTTCGAAATGGGTCGAGGCCCAGAAGCTGTACGTTGAGTCCATTGAGAAGTGGCTCTTCAAGTGCGTCTCTCTTCCTCAGACGACCTCGAAACGCAACAAGCGAATGAAGCCACCGCCTTTGAGAAACTTGGGCCCGCCAATTTACACCATATGTGGGGCCTGGCTTGAGGCCATTGACAAACTGCCGGCAAAAGGGGTGGTTGACTCGGTCAAAGACCTGGCCCATGAGGTGGCCCGTTTTCTGCCTCGTCAGGAAAAGAATCAGAATCAGAATCAGAATCAGGATGAAGGTCTGAGTATGCTGAGGGAGGAAGTTAGTTCGGAGGATTGGGTGCCAGTTATGGACCGGTTTCAAACGGGTTTGACCCGTTTTCTCGGGCAGCTGAACGATTTTGCGGGCTCGTCGGTTAAGATGTTTGAGGAACTGGAGGAGGCCATCAAGCAGGCCAAGAGTAACTACGAACAGTACAAGTCGCAACAAGGGGTTTAGTTTAGTTGAATTTAAATGGTTTTGGTGGGAAGGGGATTAATTGGTTTGGTGAGGAATAAAGAAAGATTATACGTATAGGTATACGGAGAACAGTAGAATCGTGGGGCGTATTTTTTTTTTTTCTGTTCATGGGGTTGAATAAAATGCGGGTCGATTATTGGATCCGAGTTTGCTTGAGAAAAAGGGACACTGCTGTAGTAGGTGTTGGTTTATATATAGTGAGCTTTGTTATGAACATGGTTTTGTGTAAAGCTGCAGAATGTGTTTTTTTGTAAGAATTTTGATTAGGGCAAGCAATGTTGGTGTGCAAGACATCACCTAATACTCATTTTAACATTTCTATAGATGAAAAGAGAATAAACTTGGGCCAGACAAGTAAAACTCCTAGCCTTTTAAACCTTACAATCACTATGGGTGTGTTTGATAAACCTAGCTGATAAGCTATAAGAGGTAAACCTAGCTGATAAGCTAGCTTATAGTTGATAAACTAGTGGATGTTTATTAAAGGTGTTTGGCAAAAATAGCTGATAAGCTAGTTAAATTATAATTACTTGAAATTTAAAAGTATATAATTAGATTAATAATATCTTATAGCTGATAAGATAGTGGATGTTTATTAAAGGTGTTTAGCAGAAATAGCTGATAAGCTAGTTAAATTATAATTACTTGAAATTTAAAAGTATATAGTTAGATTAATAATATTTATAAAAAAATATTCGTATGAATAGTATTATTATTTCCGTGATTAAAAAAAAGTAAAAAATAAAAAATAAACATACAATTTTAATAAAAAAGAATACTAATTAATAATAGCTTATAAGCTAGTTAAAAAATTAAAATTACTTAAAATTTAAAAGTACACATTTAGCTTAATAATATTTATAAAAAAACAGTAAAAAAAAAAATTTCAATAAAAAAAAACACTAACTAAAATTCACTTAAGAAAGATAAATATTTTTGTTCAAAATTAATAAATCATACAACCTATATTGTTGCACTCCAAATCATCTTTGCAATATTATTGCAAATATTTTTCATCACATTGTTGGTTTCTCTTGAATTGTTGTAGCCAGAATGTGAACCAGATTCATCTTGTAGTTCATCACTAGGTATGTCCTTTGGATGTTTCTCAAGCACTCCAAACATCAAATCATCATCTGAATTGATCCGAATGAAGTTATGCAATGCAAATGCCGCCATTATCACATCAATTTGCGTATCAACACTAAACTTAGGCATTTTACTTAATATTTTCCATCTCTTTTTCAATACTCCAAAAGATCTTTCGATGCAACTTCGAAGAGATGAATGAGCCTGATTGAATGCTTCTTCTGCATTATTTGGCAACTCGTGTTGGAATTCAGACCGATGGTATCTTATCCTCGGATATGGCACTAAATATCCTTTTCGATCTGGATATCCCTTATCAACTAAGTAATATCGACCTGTTAAAAAATAACATAATTTAAATTTAGGGGACATATTTAATATTTATTAGTATACAATTATAAAAAAAAAATAATAAATTACCCTCAGGAGGTTTCGGGAAGTTCATAGATGATGTCTCGATTGCATGAAGAAAGACACGCGTATCATGTGCTGATCCTTCTCATCCAACATATATAAATGTAAAACACATGTCGAAGTTACATGAGGCCATGACATTGAAAGTAGGGATTCCTTTTCTTCCTCTATAGCGCAATTGCTCTTTATCCGGAATACATGCTTCAATATGCGTACCATCAATACAGTCTATGCAATCCTGCATACATATAAAAATCGTTAGTGTCTATGACAAAAAAAGAAAATTAAAATCAAATAATTATTACTCTTGTAATTTGTAAAAGAATTATTACCTTGAAGTATGGCATATATCTAGGATCATTAGATATATGAGGTGGTATGAATTGAAAAGTTCGATCCTTGGGTTTAATATCATCACGTGCAAGACCTTTATATTGCCTGCTTCTTCCACTTATTGATTCTAAAATGTCATGAAATGCTCTGCTAATTGTTTCTCCTGATCTTTGAAATCTCTCACTAGCATCCCTATTAGAAATTCCCAAGGCAATGATATATACAAATATACCAACTTTTTCATGAACTGACATTTTATCACTTGCTTTTAAATCATACTTATCTTTCAATTCTTCACATAGTTGCATAAATACACTTGAACTCATTCTAAAAGCATTAACGCATCGAATTGGATGTCCAGTTAAGACTTCTTTCATCCAAATCTCTCCTGTTTGACAAGACGTCATGCATGGTTCTTTATAGATATGACTATAGAAATAGTATGCAACTATCGGACTTGTTTGAAAACTACCCAATTCCAATAGTAAAAGAATTTTCTTCCTTTGATCATCGTCCATTGTGTACCTATTAATCATAAAATAATGAAAGATTTTTATTAACATAAGAATTCCAAACAACAAGAGAATATAAAAGAAAAANATAATGAAAATTCATATAATGGGTCCAAAAAACACATAAGCTATCAAATGTTTAAAAATTATAAAATCAATTCTCCAACTATTTCTACAATTTAAAAGATGTTCTTAGCATGCATAAACCAGGTTTTATTTGCATCAGAAAGCCCACAAATCATTGCACATGATCACTTGAATTCTGCCCATTAAATATTTGGCACTATATTTTTTCATGTCTCACTACATTGATTAAATATCTTTTTAATAATATATGGACTCACAAAAAGATATCAATATTGAAATTCATACCAACATAATTCCAAGTTAATTAGTTAAATTTTTGTAAAGTGAAAGAAAAAATTAAAATAAAATATAAATCGTGAACCCCACATCTATTGAACAAGAATCATGTTCTTATCACCAAAAATATCCATCAAAAAACTACAAGCACGTGATGTGCAAAAGGCTCAAATAATCATAAACAAAAGGTTCAAGTAATCAATTGACAATAAATTCATAAAGTTCAACCAGTGAAAAATCAAAATAAAGCACAAATCAACAAAAACCGACCAACCACACAAACAAAGCAGAGTTTATCTAATTCCAGCTATCATGAATTTCTCCTCCGAACAACAACCCATTAGGCGAAAAGAGTTCCAATTTATGAATTTCAATGGATTTCGCACAACAAACAGTTAAAATACAAAAATTGAAGAAAAAAATTGTTGTAAAAATCACCTCTCTTCTTTTGTAGATGATGACTGCCGACAAAGAGTTGGGGGATGCACCAGTTCATGTGCTCGACAAAAATTTGCAGGTGATGAAAATTGCGCGAAATCTTGTGCGGGAGAGAAATCCTGAATAGAGAATTTGAGAATGAATAAAAAACTCATATAAGTTATAATATTATGGAAAGAAATAATATAAAAATAGAATAAAAGTAAAAAGTTGGTATGAGCTTTTTCTAGACGCTTGTATCATAAACTTTTCAAATAAGCTCGAACTTTTTAAAAAAACTCATGTTGCCAAATAGAGCATATTAAAATTAAAATAACTTATAAATTACTTAAATAAGCTATAAGCTAATTTTGTGGTCAACTAACCGCCTATATGTTGCATAACAAATAAAAAGTCGCCCCTTTATTTTTTTAACAGATGCCACCGAAGTGGCAAAAGTCGCCCCTCTAAAGAACCATGTAATCATAAGTGTACTGAATTAAATTTATTTATTATCATTATTGTATCAATTAGCTTATATCCCAAGAAAGTCAACAGAAAAAGTGCCACATCCACTAAAATCTCACACTTTGAATTATCTCAATAAAAGACCAAAAGAAAAAGCAATTAACTACCACAATTTCACTCTATAAAGTATAATCACAATCCCTGGACAAAATACGTGCTTTCTCATCAAGTGAGTCCAAGACGACGTCGCATTTGACCTTAACGGTGATTTCCCAGGTCCTGACGGTCCCCACCTTAAATTTAACGGGGGCCTTTACTCTCACCACGAACGGAATCCGCCGTCTATTCTTCCCGTCCCGTAACGCCGTCCTAACGTCGCCACCCAAAACGATGCGGGATCCCGTAACCGCCGTCCGCAGCGCCGTCACGTTCCTCCGCGGCTGGAAGAAGACCGGCAGGGCGCCGCCGCCCAGCCTCACGCCGTCAAACAGGACGTTGACGGAGCTTCCCCTCAGGTAGTAGATCCCGACCCTGCCGTTAGGGTTCTCCGCCCCGATGGCGACGTCGAATCCCGGCGTCATCGACGCCGCGGACGTCACGTTCAACCCCCTGGCCGCGAGGCCCGTCACCGTGTACCTTGGGGACCTGAATCGGAAGACGAGGTAGAGAGATCCGGCCGAGATCGCGGCGGCGACGGCGAGGAGAAGGAGGAGGCAGAGGGAAAAGCAGCAGCAGCGGCGGCAGCAGCTCCGGCGGTTACGGCGGCGCGCGAGGGTTTGAAATTTCCTGGCGTTCTCCGGCGAGGGGTACCGGAGTATTTGTTCCCTTGGGAATTGGACGACGTAGGTGGCCGGTGGGGGGACGGGGTGCGAGGGAGGCGGGTTCGGTGGCTTGGGTTGCTCGCTGGAGAAATTGGGTGATGGTGTGGCCGATGCTGATGAAAGAGGCAGCGGATCGGCGTTGACTGTGGCGGGGTAAACCCGTTTGTCGCCCATTGATGTCCAAAACGAGTTTAGCAAAATCAGAGCATAAAGAAGAAAACAGGGTTGAGAACAGAGATGATAATGGAGTTGATTTATATATATCGATATATTATACATAAACACGCACAAATATGTACTGCCTGTGTGCGTGTTGAGTTTTTAATTGAAACTGAGTGTGCGTGTGGGTTTGTGAAACGCGTAAAATGTGTAAAGCGTATGCGATATTTTAATATTTTGCTGCTCGCCAGTTGTTACTAAACGCTGGACATAATTATTTTACATATTTTGTGGTTGCTTTACATTTTTTATCTAATATAATAATATAGTTTGCCGTCTAATGAGTTTCACAAATCAGATTGTGGCTAGAAAAAGTGATTTCCCAAAATTTTGGGTGGAAGTAGGAATCTTTCCATACTAAAATATAAAATAAAATAAACTAATGACTTTTCTCATTAAATTCCTAAGCTCATTTTTATTTTCTATTTCATAGGGTTAGAGCAAAAAAATCGGATTTCCCGATCTCGAACTGGACCGAAATGATCCCGTTCCAAAAAAATAGGGTTCCAATTGATTTTTAAAATTTTCGTACCGTTTCTTGTACCAAACCGGTTGAAACAATGTCGGTATCAGTTTTTAATATTAGGGTTCCAATTGATTTTTAAAATTTTCGTACCGTTTCTTGTACCAAACCGGTTGAAACAATGTCGGTATCAGTTTTTAATATTTTTTTCCCGAACCATCCCGTTTGTCCTTTTTTTTTGTACAAAAGTATTATATATATATATATATATTATACATTAATTTATATTTATGTTAGTATTATATTTATGGTCAACTTTATATTATGGTCTTTGAAATTGGACATGTATCAGGCATATCACATGTCTCCCAGAACACATACAAGCACACAAAGGTTTCAAAGACGCTATAATGTAGAAGAATTTTAGCAGAATATTCTGCCAAGGAGAGAGTGTTCGCTAATTATTTTCGCTATCCGCAAGTGTACGGAGTAGCTATAGGTAGTGGCGAGCAAAGTCGTATTCCACAGAGATTGTAGTTAAATTAATTAAGTACTAAAATAATGACGATTAAATATTATCTAGACTAGTGAATTGAATGATGATTATAAACTAAGAATTAAACTAGAAACTAATTTATCTAAAAAATAAAAATAAAAATAAATAAAGAAACAAAAGGTAGATTCTTGGCTAAGCATTCCTCGGAATTAATTCATGAAACGTTTATATTCAAACAAACCTTATTTAATTTTACCAATCGTAGAGATAATCGCTAAATTAATTTCAAACCTCTCTCTCGAACAAGTCAAATCGTAGATATTAATTATATCTATTTTCTCTCGGTCTCAAGATGAACAACTAACTCCCATAAGTTCCTAGGATTTTCGTTCTCTCGCAAGGTCCTATCAACCTCTCGGTCTGTTTATTCTTTGACGTTATAAATCTCCCAATTCTAGCAATCGATTATCTCCTCTCGGTCTCAAATCGATCACAAATATGCATTCATAGTGGCCATCTACTCACACAATAATAATAAGCACGAGAAATTTATAAACGAAAGATAAACCGGAATGAAATAAATAAAAACTAAATCATAAATCAATCCGAGTACTAACAAATCCTAGAATCTAAGATAAATCTAGCCTAGAAACATGATTTCAGAATAATAAAAATATATATAAAACATTGGATTTGAAAGAGGAAAAAAAAGAAAGAAAAAGCTTATTCGGCTCCGTCGATCCTTTCTTCCCGGCTTTCTCCCTCGTCTTGCTCGTGTTTCTAGCCTCCAAAGTTCTCCAAAGATGTGAAAATTATGTCCCAGACTCCTCAAAAACGTGTCCAAGGGTTGTATATATAGCTGAGGTCGAGTCCTAGTCGTAATAGGTCGAAAATACCGAAAAAATAGGAAAAACACGTAAATCCGGATTTTGTCGCGCCCAGGGTCACACGACTCGTCTCATAAGTCACACGGGTCGTGTGTCAATGTCGAGAGCTCCCTTTACGACCCGTCGGAGCGACACGAGCCATGTCTCGGGCTCACACGACCCGTATTGGTCTGGATGGCTAAAACTTCATTTTCTCAGCATATTTCGGCTCCTGATGCATTCTACAGATTCTCAGGCGTCTCCCAGTGGTCATAAGTAGCGTCCAGGTGGTCAGACTGCGTCCAGGTATCCGGCCATGGCATTTTCCGGCCAAGCACAGCCACCCGCGCGGAAGTTTGCAGTTGCAGCTCTTGGATGCTCAATTTCTCGACATCTCTCAGCGGTTATGGACGTATCTCAGTCTTAGATCAGAAACGTGACGGCGCGGCGGTCTCTGATGGTCGGATATGGCGAGTTCCGGCCACTTGCTCAGCCCGGCGGCAGCAGCTCCTCCTCCTTGGGAATAGGATGCCGCCGGCGGATGAGAGGCTTTCAGGACGTCGGAAATGGGTTCTCCTATGGCTGAGTAGTCTCGTGGTGGCTCGGTGATGGTGTAGCAGGGTGATGGACGAACTGAGCAGCTCAAAGCTCAACAATGGCGGATGGTTTGCTGCGTGCGTACATTATGAAGAAGAAGTCATGGAAATGACCTATCTATCCCTCATTAAGTGACTCATGGGCCAGCCCATTTAGCAACAAATTCCAATTGGGCCAATTATTTGTATTAAAGTTGATGGACTTTAATAGTGGGAAATTTTTACACATACTACATGAAATAAAAGAATTTTCAATTTTACCTTCCTAGAACAATTAATAGGATATATACCTAATCAAGTTATTTTATTTACATGATTGCCTAAATATCAGTTACCTTTTGTAACGTCCTCTATCCATATAAGTTATCCTTTGGTGGCGTGATTTACTTATTTAATTCCTTAATTCCCGCAACTGGAATTCTTTAATTCACGCAACTCTCAGGTGGTATATATTGAGTTTATGTTAATATATATTCAGTATATGTGCGCAACTGAAATTTCTTAATTCACGTAGTCTCTGGTAGTATATATTGAGTTTATGTTAGTATATATTCAATATATGTGCGCAAGTGGAATTCCTTAATTCACGTCTCTGGTATATATTGCGTTTATGTTAGTATATATTCAGTATATGTTGCAATGAAAAAAATGTCTTCCATAAAAAATTGTATCTTCCACTTTTTTTCTTTTATACATAAAAGAAAAATATATATATATATATATATATAGTTTAAAAACATATTATAACAGATTACTTAATATAAAACCATACATATACACAGCACCAACAAAAAAAATTCAATTTATGCTATTTTAAATAGATTTTATACATAAAAATTAGGTCTCACAATAAATTTCTTTATCATATACCGAAAATATACTGAGTATAAATCATAGATATAAAAAAAAAAAAAATCATCAGTTAATGCTTTGTCAATATAAACCATACATACATATAAAGTAGTCCTTATATTATACAGAACATATACCCTATATATACACAACATATACCGGATTAATTCAAGGTATGGATTTGAGAACACGAATCTGCAAAAATACATTATTCTGCGAAAAAATCTGGGAAATAGCGAACCATATATACTTTTATATGTTACAAATAAAAAAATGCATATAGCAATCTCAAATTCAAACAGACTTATCAAAACCCACAGTTACCTAACCAAATTCGTAGCTGCGCATTCACAGAATTGGATCTAAATTACACCGATCATGTACCAAACACTTCAATTTCCAAGCCCCCAACAATTATTGAAAAATACATAACAATAAAACCCAAATTTATAAATAAAAATATTCCCAAAAAAAAAAGAACCTCGCTAAGATAGCGCTTGTGCGAGTGAAGATTATCGACATAAACTTCATCTTTTGGATCTCTGCCTCGTTTAACACTCACCGTCGCCGATGGAGATGAAGAAGAAGAACTTGTGCCGTTACCGTCTGGGCCCATTATCTCTGTAATTTTTATTTTTTACAGTCACTCGTATCACCTCATACATCTCACTTTCATGGGGAAAAAGAAATCAGCTGCTGGAAAAATCAAGTACAATTTTTTTTTTCTATTGCTGATAATTTATTTTGTTTTTTTTTTCTACAGAAAGAGAAAATATAAGCCTAAAATTGTAGGAGAAAAAGAAAAAGAAGAAGAAGAGAGAGACGGGGGAGAGGGAGAGAGAAACGAAGAGAAAGGAGAAAGAGAGAGAAAGTGCATATATTTAATTTAAATTAAGGATTTCATTAACATTTAATAAGCAAGAACAAAAGGTAATAACAGTTACATCGTGAGGCATAATTGAAATATTTTTAGCTTGTTTAGGTATTTTTATAAATAAGAATATAAGGAATATATAAATGTAATAAAAATCATAGATTGAAGTAAGGAGTGTAAATTCCTCTTTAGTAGTTGATGGAGTGTGCAATTGGACCTATAAATGGACATGTGGCTGCAACTTGGGCATCTTTCAAACATAGCTTGTACACCGTCTTCGACTGATTCTCGTCGTTTTCGCTATCAATAAATATTTCGCCCCATTTTCTATAAAATCACAAGGTAAACAACTTCGTCATAGTTTAATAAAATTAATTAAATAAATAATAATATATAACAAACTACGACAAAACAGACATGATAATCACTATAAAATGTACGTAAATATGACGTATGTCAGAGAGGTGCACCACAAAATTGCACATTATATCAACAATCATATTTAATTAATATTACATAAAAAAATTACATTACATTATGTAATAATATTATTATGCATTAAGTATCCACAAATTTCAAATCATGAGTTTAGTGCCATAATAAAATAAAAATTAAAGGGTTTGATTTTGAATGGAATCAATGTTTTTTTTTTAAAGTGAAACAAGGAATAGTTTGAAGTTTGAACATTTTGTTTTCCCGTTTGTCTCGGTCCCGAACCGTTTTGTCCCGGTCCCGATTGATACCGATCCGTTTGGGACGGGGTGTCGTCTAGGACTGGTTCAAAAAACCGGGACAGGTATCGGGATAG